TACTCATAGGAGTTGAAAACTTATGTCCACAGAAAAACCTGCACGTGGACATTTATAGCAGCTTTATTCATAACTGCCAAAATTTGGAAGCAACCAAGATGTCCTTCAGCAGGTGAATGAATAAATAAACTGTGGTACATCCAGACAATGGAATATTATTCAGCGCTAAAAAGAAACAAGCTATAGAGCCATGAAAAGGCACAGAGAAATCTTAAATGCATATTACTAAGTGAAAGAAGCCAATCTAAAAAGATGGAATCATACTGTATGATTCAAACTATATGACATTCTGGAAAATGAAAAACTATGGAGACAGTGAAAAGATCACTGGTTGCCAGGGTTTGGGGGTTGGGAGAAGGATGAATAGGTGAAGCACAGAGGATTTTCAGGGCAGTGAAAATACACTGTATGATACTGTAACAGTGAATACATGTCATTATACATTTGTCCAAACCCACAGAATGTACCACCAACAGTGAACCGTAATATAAACTATATTTTGAGTGATTACAATGTGTCAATGTAGGTTCATCTATAGTAACAAATGTACCACTCTGCTGGGGGACATCGATAATGGGGGAGGCTATGCATGTGTGAGGGCAGGGGATATACGAGAAATCTCTATAGCTTCCTCTTATTACTGTGAACTTAAAACTGCTCTAAAAAAACTTGTCTTTAAAAAAAAACTGAGGGCCGGCCCCGTGGCTTAGCGGTTAAGTGCATGCGCTCTGCTGTTGGCAGCCCGGGTTCGGATCCCGGGCACGTACCGACGCACCGCTTCTCCGGCCATACTGGGGCCGCGTCCCACATGCAGCAACTAGAAGGATGTGCAGCTATGACATACAACTATCTACTGGGGCTTTGGGGGAAAAAATAAATAAATAAAATTATAAAAAAAAAAAAAAAAGAAAGCTTTCTTTAAAAAAAAAAAAAAACTGAAACAAATGAACCTTTCTGTATGTCAAATTGGTACCCAACCATATAAAGAATGATTTCAAGTGACTTTAAAACACAGTATTTTGACCATACATTCTTAATGGGATATATCATAAGATGAAAACACACATACACACATAGAGAAATCCACTGTAGTCTTATTGATAGTTATAATATTGGTTTTGCTCTTTTTTGAAACTATCAAAAAAGTAAATCATTTTTAATATTATTGTTGTTAGGAACCAAGATTCAGCATATGAATAAAAAATACAAATATTAAATCTAAAAAATTAACTTAAAATCCTCTTTTTTTAATTTGAATTGGAGAAATATCAAGATATTGTCATGATTTATTTTTCTTTATTAAAAATACCTTTTCCCTAGAACTGAACACTAAAAAGGCCTTAAAGCAAAGACAACTCAGTGAATACAATTCTGCCCAGACCATTGTCTCTAAATAGCATTTCTCACTAAAAAGAATCAGCGTTCCTTGGAGAAATGTCTGATTTCAGGTCTGAAGCAAGTATAAGAGAAGCCTGAAAGCCCTTGTTCCATCTAAAAACAGGAAGATTACTGGGGTCTTGTCCAAAGGACACAGGAGGTAACTTTGAAAGGCTCTCACTAGCCAAAGATGGGGACATCTGAACATCAAAAAGAATAATGATTGTAAAGGCATGACATACAACAAACATATTTAAAAAGTAAACGTAAAGGTAGGATGTAAAAAAAATTAAATGTAAAAGCATGTAAAGTGGTAAACCACCCTAGAGAAGTTAGGACAGTTTCTTAAAAAGTTAAATTCACATCTACCATACCACCCAACCATTCCATTTCTAGACATTTACCCAAGAGAAATAAAAGCACATGACCACACAAAAACTTGTATATGAATGATTACAGCAGCATTATTCACAATATCCAAAAACTGGAAATAAAATATCCATTAACAAGTCAATGGATAAACAAGTTGTGATCTATCCACACAATGGACTAATACTCAGCAATAAAAGGAATGAACTACCGATACATTCAACAACATGCGTGAATCACAAAATAATTACACTGAATAAAAGAAGCCAGACAAGGGGGCGGCCCGGTGGCGCAAGCGGTTAGGTGCCTGCGCTCCGCTGCAGCAGCCCGGGGTTCGCCACTTCAGATCCCAGGCGTGCACCAATGCACTGCTAGGCCAGCCATGCTGTGGCGGCGTCCCATATAAAGTGGAGGAAGATGGGCATAGATGTTAGCCCAGGGCCAGTCTTCCTCAGCAGAAAAAGAGGAGAATTGGCAGATGTTAGCACAGGGCTGGTCTCCTCACAAAAAAAAAAAAAAAAAAAGAAGCCAGACAAAAAATAGTACATATTACATGATTCCATTTATATAAAATTATAGAAAATGCAAACTAATCTATAGTGACAGAAAGCCAATGTTTGTCTGTGGATGGGGGGGTGGGAAAGGGAAGGGAAGGAATACAAAGGAGAACAACAATGTATGACAGTCATGGATATGTTCATTATCTTGACTGTGTGTATGTATATGCCAAAACTTATCAAATTGTACACTTTATTTTTTTGTTTTTTTTTTTTTGAGGAAGATCAGCCCTGAGCTAACATCCATGCTAATCCTCCTATGTTGCTGAGGAAGACCAGCTCTGAGCTAACATCTATTGCCAATCCTCCTCCTTTTTTTTTCCCTAAAGCCCCAGTGGATAGTTCTATGTCATAGTTGCACAGCCTCATAGTTGCTGTATGTGGGACGTGGCCTCAGCATGGCCGGAGAAGTGGTGCGTCGGTGCGCGCCCGGGATCCAAACCCGGGCTGCCAGTAGCGGAGCGCGTGCACTTAACCACTAAGCCACAGGGCCGGCACTAAATTGTACACTTTATACATGTGCAGTCTATTTTATGTCAATTATACCTTAATAAACCTGTCAAAAAAAATCCATGAATTCAAATTGATAAGCCTCCTTCACCCTCTCCACCCTCCCAAAAAAATCTCTTTGGAGACTATTAGGGTGTCAATTCATAATTCTTTTTTTAATAATTTTATTTATTTTTCCCCCAAAGCCCCAGTAGATAGTTGTATGTCATAGTTGCGCATTCTTCTAGCTGCTGTATGTGGGACGCGGCCTCAGCATGGCCAGAGAAGCAGTGCGTCTGTGCGCGCCCGCGATCCGAACCCGGGCCGCCTGCATCGGAGCGCACGCACTTAACCACTAAGCCACGGGGCCGGCCCTCAACTCATAATTCTTAAATTTGATAAACAAAGGTAAAGAATCGAGCATTCATCCTGAAATTCCTGTACCAACTGTATTTCAAGGTAATTAAATAGTTGGTGAAAGAAAGTTCCTTATAGAAAATCACAACTGGGCCGGCTCCGTGGCTTAGCGGTTAAGTGCGCGCGCTCTGATGCTGGCAGCCCGGGTTCGGATCCCGGGTGCGCCCCGAGGCACCACATCTCCGTCCAACCCGAGGCCGAGTCCCGCGTACAGCAACTAGAAGGATGTGAACCTACGACATACAACTATCTACTGGGGCTTTGGGGGGAAAAAATGAATAAATAAAATCTTTAGAAAATCACAACTAATAAATGCAATAGGAAGAAAAGAATTATAAAATCCCTATTTTGCACCCCACAATGAAATAACAGATCTAGACAACTATCATCAGTGGTCCTTAAACCATGAGGTGAAAGGTAGATGAGGAACTTATCCTAATGGATAAATCAGGCCAACATCACCTGAATCCACTGATTAATCTTAATCAAAGGAACATTACGTGCTTCCCAATATGTTAGAATAGGAAATACATCGTACCATTTATGAAGTATTCTTACCAAGAAAACAAAACAATTGAATCAAATCAAGCCTTTAAATCTAACTATCAGATTAAACAAGAAACATTTTATTTTATTTTTTGCTGAGGAAGATTCACCCTGAGCTAACATTTGTTGCCAATCTTCCTCTTTTTGCTTGAGAAAGATTCACCCTGAGCGAACATCTGTGCCAATCTTCCTCTATTTTGTATGTGGGTCGCCATTCAGCATGGCCCCTGACGAGTGGTGTAGGTCTGCACTAGGGAACCAAACCCAGGCCACCTAAGCAGAGCACACCAAACTTAACCACTAGGCCATGGGGCCAGCCCAAGAAACATTTTAAATGACATCTTGAGGTCACAATCAGCCAAAATACAAAATGCAGGAAATTCTTTAGAAAAATAATCCAGTTTCTACAAAGAATAAATGGTATGTTAAAAAGTGTGAGGTGGGGGATTGTTTAGAATTAAATAGCTCTAAAAGGCATATCCCCAGGGGGTGGCCCAGCGGCATAGTGGTTAAGTTCACACACTCCACTTCAGCAGCCTGGGGTTCGCAGGTTCAGATCCCAGGTGTGAACTTACACACCACTCATCAAGTCATGCTATGGTGGCATCCCACATACAAAACAGAAGACTGGCACAGATGTTAGCTCAGTGACAATCGTCTTCAAGCAAAAAGAGGAAGACTGGCAACAGATGTTAGCTCAGGGCCAACCTTTCTCACCAAAAAAAAATTAAAAGGCATATCCCCAATGTAATACATGGAGCTCTTTGGATCCACACTGTATTGTAAAAAAATATTTTAGAGACAATTTAGGAAATCTGAATATGAAATAAGTATTAGATGACACTAAGAAATTCCTACTAATTCTACTGACTGTGATAATAGTATTGTCGGGGGGAGGTTCTTTCTTCACAATTCTTGTCTGTTAACAATACATGACATGTACAGGTGGAATCATATGGTGTCCAGGAATTGTTTTCAAGTACTTTGGCGCACACGCACACGCACGCACGCACACACACACACACACACACACTGTGTCACAGTGACAGGAGAAAAGTGAAAAAAGAATGGCAAAATGATGATAATTGTTGAAGTTGGATTTTGGGTGCATGGGGACTCATTACACTATTCTCTCTACTTTAGCATATGTTTGAAAATTTCCATAATAAAATTTTTTATTTTTTAACTATACAGTAATCTGGACCAGTTAATATGTTGGAAATAACAGGGCCTAAAGCAACTAACCTCTGTCCTGAAGCGAGGGCAATGGGAGACTGTCCATTGGGGGGCCGAGGCTCCTCACACGTCTTCATCTCCAACTCTACCTTATCCAGACACTGAAATAAAAGCCATGGAGAGCTAAGCATCTGCACAAAAACCCATACAACACAGACTGTGTCTTATTCATCTGTGTGCACCAATGCCTAATTAAGTGCTGTACCCACAGTGGGCAGACAAATGTTTGTCAAATGAGTGAATGAACAAATCAAACTGTGAGGAAAGGCCTCATCTTCCCCCTTCCATTTCAATTAGCGGCAGAACTCCATGACAAGCACGGGATTAGCTCATAGCGGAAAATTAAAACACAAATTCAAGTTACAGAGATGTTACTATTCCTAGGGATTCCAGTCTTTGGGATAAAGATAGGCATCAATCAGTTCCTGAAGGGCTTTCAGCTGATAATCAACCAGTAGTCAACAGGAACTAAACTGCTAATTTTTCCTTTGTCAGGATTCCAAAGGAAATCTAAAGACAGAACCTGGGCAAAACTTGTCCAAAAAAAAAAAAATAACTCAGGACTTCTGGGTCTTATGTCTCAGTGCTAATTGCTATACTGCACAGCAGTTCCAGAAGAAGCCCAGACAACAGTCACTCTGTCTCAGAGAGAAGCTCACAAGCCAGACAGAAGCAACCACCACTGCCAAAAGGGGCAGTCTATCAGGACTCCTCCCCGTCTTCTCTCAGATCTTTTAAAACCCTATCCCAGCCATCCCATTTGATTATTTGCAATCAAGAAAGGCCATTACCAAGCAAATTGGGTGTGTCTTCAACTTTGTCCACTGGATCTGAAAGAGAAAAGCCAAGACTCAGGACTATGGGAGCCACCCCTCAAGAAAGCAGGCCTGCTGGCCAAAGAAAGCCAACAGCACTCTAACCCCCATTCTCACCCGGATGGAGGCCCTGTTGCAGTAGACCCGAGTGATGGCTAACCAGGTGGGCAGCTCCAGCACATTCTGCAGAACCTCTTCATCCAGCTCCAGGTTGGTCAGTTGACCCTCCCCTTTCAGGGTGCTCAAATTGATTTTGTCCGGGGAAAGATTCTTAGTGAACCTGAAAAGAGCGATCATAAGAAGCTATTATTTGCACAGAGCGCAGAACCACACCACTTGTCTGTCATGTGGTGGCAGCTCATGCAGAAGAACTAGAAGGACTTACAACTAGAATATACAACTATGTACAGGAGCTTTGGGGAGAAAAAAAAAGAGAGAGAGAGAGGAAGACTGGCAAAAGATGTTAGCTCAGGGCGAATCTTTCCCAGCAAAAAAAAAAATTAAAGAACAAATGTTGACTAATGACCACCCTGTCTCTATGCCACATAAGATGTTAGGTGAGACCCATCATTCTATTCATGACTGTGTCATCTTTCTACTCAGGAATCTCCAATGTGGATTCTGGAGAAATGGCTGTAAGCAGTGGCAACATAGTCTTTTGATATTTCTGAATCCCCACATAAAATCAGAGCAACTAGACAGCAACACAAAAAGGCCATGGATAACAGTTAAACCAAAACTGGAAGATAAAGCGTCCTCATAAACTCCCACATATAAGCAGGAGGGGAAAAACATCAACAGCCACAAGATGTGAGTGCTATAAGCAGCAGTGCAGGTCACCACAGAGGGAAGCAATAGGGCATCTGAAGGACCAGAGAACAGAGAACTCCAAGACAACCAAGTAATACATGAAAAGCAATGTGGGCCAATTTGAGAATAGCTATCGAAACTGGAGGGATTTGTCCACCGAAAGGGGTCCTCAGTGAGGCCCAAAGTAGCTGGAGCAGTCTAGCCCTAATAACTCACGGAACTAACCAAGGCTCCTTCCTAGGACCGGGCCCCGACACTGAGAAGAAACTGCTGAGAGAGGAATTCAAATTGAGCAAGATAGGGATAGCAGAAATGAAGACAAGAGATGGTCCAAATAAAAGTAGGCCGGGTGGGGGCAACAAGACCAGGCTATCTCAGAAAGCAAGCCATTATATTTTTTAACACTATTTGAAACAACAGAAGAGGGAGCTCTATGAAGTTAGAATATGAAATGGTAACAGGCTAATTACTGGCTTGTTAATAAGTAAGGTAAAATGAAACCCCAGACCCTTACACATACCTTTACTGGTGTGACAAAAGAACACCTAAAGTCTTGCCAAAGGAAATGAACCTGAATCTCATCATGCTACTGGGTCCAGTTGCTCATTTGCAGGAAACACAGAGGACAGAGGAAAACTGCTGAACTGCACCATAACTGTGCAATTAGCAAAATCCAGACCATGGGAAACTCTATAGGTTCAGGTGGCCTGGATATAAACAATTCACACAGGCCAGTCTTCTCACTACTCCACACTTACTGTCTCCAGTCTTTGTTCATGGGCTCTTGCGACTCACTTCCTTTCCTGGAGCATCCTCATCACAATCTGCCATTTAAGGCCCAACTCAAGACTTCTCACTGAGGCTTACTTTCCCTAACTGCTGCAACTCACATTACACTCTTTTCTTCTACATTCCTGGAATCTGTATCACTCATTTAGGTCATAATCATAGAGGACCTTAGGATGTTCTGATTCTCCCTTGTGTAACCACCCCTGCACAATTAGATGTTAAGCCTTTTGAGATCAGGGGCTTAGTCTTAGCCATCCCTCCTAGTCAAAATGGTTATCTGAGAGAATGCAGGGCCTACATAGCTCTTAGCTAATTGTCCTGCTGGCTAACTGCTCCCAGCTCCCTTCTCTCATCTTTTTGGCTGGATCAATTTAAGGCCAGTTCCTTACAGCATAATCCTGTCTCTCGTATGACAAATTGTCTAGAGGAATCTCATCCCTGTAATTCTCACTGTTGCTGTCTGTCCTGATCACTATTTTCCATCCCAATAATGAATTGTATTAGCCCTCCAGCCTTACCTTAGCCCTTACATGTATTAGATTAAATAGTTGACTTTAGAGTTATATATTGTTTACCAGTTTTTATATTTTCACACACATCCTTTCCTTTTACTAAGCTGTGTTTTTAGTGTTTTTGGTTTTCCTTGGACCATAAGATCACAACATGCAAGAGTTTTATCTTTATGGTATTTTTTCTACAGTGCCTAAAATGGTACTATATAAAAAGGCTCTTTAACAATTTTTTAAATGATAGTAAAAAACTTTTTAGAAGTTTATAAACATGCAACATTTAGAAGTTTATAAACGTGCAAAACAAATGATATTAAGGGATACAAAGGAATGCACTGGCATGATAACAAATTCAGGAAAGTGCTTACCTGTGGGACAAGGGGAGGGGTCTACAGGAAACTTCAACTGTATGGATAATGTTTATTTCTCAAGTTGGGAGGTGACTGTATGGCTGTTCATTATATTACTCTCTATACCCTTTTGTATGGCAAATATTTCATAATAAATCTTTCTAAGATTTCTATTAATTACCTATCATGTGTACTTACTGTTGGGAGAGCTGCTCCACCATGGGTCTCTCATACTCCTACATGTCTTGCTGGGTACGCCAAAAACGCATGACCCTGACCACTCCTTACCCAGGCCACTTCTCAGGATTGTGTTTGCAAAGAGCAGCTTTGAGGGATGAAGTAATGTCCCCCTCCAGGACAAAGAGCAGGCTTGCATACCACCTACTATAAAAGCACTGAATTCCCCAAGCTTAATATTCCATTCCTATAACACATGTGCAGGCATTCATCTGGGCCCATTCATGTCACTTCCATGAGACTTAGGGGGCAAGGAGAACCAATGCAAACATATGCTTCTGCTGTTTGCTGGGCCATGAGTAATCAAGTCCTTTGTCTCTGATCCAGGAGTCCTGTGTGTTCTGCCAGCACCCATAAACTGTAGCAGGCTAATTATTAGCTTTAAAACCAGGTAAATTAATATCCCAGACCCTTACCCATACTTGTACTGATTTTAATTCATAAAAAAAAATTTTTTTTATCAACATTTACTGAGTATGAACCAATTTTATTCTCTGAACCAAAAAGACAAGCTTTCTATAATGACTCCTATCCTCTGAAAACTAACTTGCCACAGAGGGAGAGAATTCCTCTCTTCCTGTAAGTAATGGCTACCGGAAAGGAAACAGGACTGGGGTTTGAAAGAGAAGAAAAGAACATCTTAAGCACTTCCACTACATAAAACAACAACAACAACAACTGAAAGTAAAGGAAGATATAGTGCATGCCCCTGAGGAACTTGGAGAAAACAGTCCTGAGGGAAGGAAAGGAAAGCAGAAAACAGAACTCAACATTATTTGTAATCACTAGGTACTAGGTACAAGCAGGCCTTCTTTTCCAAGCCCTTATGTATTTAAATAAGATATTACAATGATTCCTTCCTCTGTTCTTCAGTATTCCGGGAAACCACATCAGCTCAGAAATTGGGGCAGCGCATCCTTCAGAAGTATTAGTCTTAAAGATAAGAATTTTTGAAGAGTTTTGAAGACTATGTGTCTCCTCCTCTCCTCCTCACCGATTCTGATAAGACTCCACTGCCTTGCCTCAGTTGAGAATAATGGTAGGAAAGAGCCACTGTCAGAGATGGGAGTAAGGATCCCTTTAATACGCAGGAGTGAGGAGAAAAGGCTGAGAATCACAAAGACAAGCTACTTTTCCTTATGATAAAAGGCCATTGTTAAGAAAAGAAAGTGATAGAGACTTTTCAAGTATGTTCCTCTTTTTTCAGAGAGGAACATACTTCAAATAAAATGAAACAAACACAGTCAAGAATAAGTTACACTGCATGTTAGCACTGACATTCTCAGAGTGATTATACTAACTAGGTACCATATATCTAATTTCTACATTGTGTTCTATGCAAAGGTAACTCTATTTACAGTTCCATATAAAGTAAATGTCATTTTTCAAGCTTTGAAAAAAAAAAGTATGAGACTGTGTTACATTTCATCTTAACCTTGCCAGTATTTAGGGCACTGTGTCTCAAACTACGGTCCTCTGATCACATGGGTGGAATCACCTTGGTATGTTTATATTGACATGCAGATTATTGGGTCACAACCCCAGATATGCTGAATCACACTGGGGAGAGGGGTAAGGAACCCGCACTTTTTTTTTTAACCATAGGATAGTTTTTTTTTCCTATGATGTATGGTTTTTTGTTTTGAGGAAGATTGGCCCTGCGCTAACATCTGTCGCCAATCTTCCTCTTTTTTTTCCTTTTGTCTCCCCAAAGCCCCAGTACATAGCTGTGTATCATAGCTGTAGAGTTACAGCTCTTCTATATGGGATGCTGCCTCAGCATGGCTTGATGAGTGTCCACACCCAGGATCCGAACCAGCGAACCCCAGGCCACCACCGAAGCGGAATGCGGAACTTAACCACTATGCCACCGGAACAGCCCCAGGAACCTGCATTTTTAACAAACTCAAGGTGACCCTTCTGTTCTCTAAAGTTTGAGAATGGTTTAATTCGAGGTTTCAGTTAACCAGCTAAAATGATTCAAGGAAGGGAAAATGAGAGGCTACAAATGGAAATGAGATGCATAAATCCATTCTTCAAGATCAATCTAAATCTGGCTATCTCACTAATGCTGCGACTTTAAGCAAACTGTTCAATCAACTTCACAGCGCTGTTGGGATTAAAAGAGCTAACTCACGAACATTAAATACCCCAGCATTTATTAAGTGTCCAATAAGTAAATAATCTTTATTATTTCTGGACTCTACTGCTCTCTCCCTTTAGAAAAGGCTTAAATTATCTTTAGAAACAAAAAACAAAAAACACGGGTTAGGAGGCTTAGATTATGAGCCTAGGACTCAGGTTGTCCTCAAAAGACAATCCCTCAGATCTGTCTTTCTATCTCAATGTATCATCCTCCATTCCCAGTATGCCTATTTCTATCCTTTTGACCCAAGTATCTAGAAATTGAAATCTGAACAAGGTTAAAACTAAATTAGTGTTCCCCAGAAAGCCTTCCCATTATATCCCACTCTGGCTCCAGGAATAGATTTTTATCTCTTGTCTCTCTGGTATTAATGGGTCACAACAGAACAACTGAAGACAGGCAACAAAATTATCAATGAAGATAGTCAAAATCAAGCTTG